GTCAGTGGATTTACTCAGTAGTTGAGCCAAATATTCAATAATTACATCTGGCTTCTGCCCAGGCAGGTGCACCTCTGAGAAGGGCCACATTGTATCACTTCAACTTGCTGCCATGGCCATTTACATTTTAGTTTTTCTGGGTCTGTAGTGATTCTGGGGTTTGTGGGCACCTAAAATTGTCTGTGTTACTTACAGGTTGGTGTTTTCTTCCTGATTTTTTTAAGCAATGTCAAAACTAACTCTGAAGCAGCTGGTCCCTGGCTAACCAGCAAATTCAGTTCATATTATATGACCAAATCAGTACTTTTTTCAAAATAAGGTATTTTGCTTTTCACCAAATAAAAAGAGAGGAGGGGGGATTTCAGGTGATGCAGCAGGATGTCTAAACACAGCAGCAGGTGAGATCTAGGGACAAAGACCTAGGAGAGATGATTTTAAAGCAAGGATGGCAGTGTGTGAATTTATTCTGCAAGATACCAAGGTATGTGTCAGCAGTAATGCCTCTTGAGTCACCCTCAGTTTAAGGCCACCACTGCTGGAGACTGGCTTCAAAATGCTACCAGGAAACCTGAGTTTGCCTGACAGGCTGTGGGGGATGCAGAGGTCAACTGGAGACTCTTTTGGACTGGAATTTTCCAGCTGGCAGTCCCATTCCCAAGCCGCCACTTCCAGTTATGGCTCTAGGCACAAAGTTAGCAGAAAGCTGACAAGAGTTAAGTCTGACTTAGGGCACTTGCCTGCATTTCAAACCTGGCTCTTTCAGAGCAGTCTTGCTGCTCTCTGTCCAGCTGGAAACTAGAAGCATGTGGAAATAATTGGCTGGTCTATCTGCACCCAAGTGGCTACAGGGAAGATGAAACTGGGGCAACCTTTGATAAGACCATAGTGTCCTAGTGCTGAAGTATTTCTTCCCCTGGTTTTACACCAAGATTAGCAAATGTACTTCACAAGATGCCAGCTGTTTTTCCATGTCTCTTCCAGGTGTGTGGCTCACAGACCTGGTACATGTAGCTGCTCATGAAATAGGACACGCCTTGGGACTCATGCACTCCCTGAACCCTGGGGCCCTCATGCACATCAACGCTACCTTGACTGGGAAAAAGACCATCTCCCAGGATGAAGTCTGGGGAATTCACAGGCTTTATGGTGAGGGAGGCAGGGCTGTGCTCTGTGTGAAGAACATCTGCCTCAAGTATCAGTTGGATCCTGTGGAGCTCTCCTGACCTTAGCCCCTCCTCCTTGGGCAGGACTAGGCTGTCAGCCAGGGAGCACTAGGCAGGAGGGATCTTCCTTCATGCAAAGCAGCGCTAAAAGGAGGTGGAACATTGTCTGTTCCTAGCACTTTGAGCTTCAAATGTCACAGGCAGGAGGGGACAAGTCTTGCAGCCTTGCTGCTCCCACCTCCCCAGCTGGCAGAGGGGTTGTCCAACTCCTGTTAGAGATGCTTTTCTGTCCCAGCTCTGCCATTGACACTGAACAATCTGAAATGTCACTTTGATTCTCAGAAGGAACACTCAGTCCCTCTAACACCTTGTCTCTGTCTCTTTCAGGGTGTAAAGACAGGCTGTTCATGTGCCCATCGTGGGCACAAAAAGGTTTCTGTGAGAAACGCAGGAAGCTGATGCAAAAGCACTGTCCTTCTGCCTGTGACTTCTGCTACGGTACCTGCCTTTCCTGCTGGGATCCTTGGTGGGGTTTGCTCAGAGGGAGGAGGTAAAAGTTAAGCAGTGTTTGCTGCAGGGATAGGCAGGATCTTAATTCCACATATAATTGAAATAGGGAAGTTGATTTTTACCCATCTCTGTCAGTTCACACACCACAAAATTGCTGTCTTCGCCAATGAACAATGTTACATGTCTATCCAAGAAGTGCTCAGTAGGAGGCATTTTTAAACTAACACAATTCTATGAAAGTGTTTTGGAATAACTAAAGCTTGGTAATGAGCAATGCTAATTTGTGCCATTTCTTTCTCTCACCTCTGGGGGACAGAATTCCCATTTCCAACGGTCCCTCCTACTCTGCCTCCACCGAGGACAAAGACCAAGACTGTTTCTGAGGGCAGGAACGTCACTTTCCGCTGTGGGCAGAAGATAATTCACAAAAAAGGCAAAGTTTAGTAAGTGCTCTATCATTTATTCCGGCCCCCTAGGAGATTTTGCAACTTACATACCAAAAAGGATGAGGAATGATGACCAACCAGAGTCAGCAGG